GCTGGATTCGATCCTCAGCACCACATACATAAATACATAAATAAATAAATAAGCAAACAAACAAGTTATGTCCAATTACAACTAAAAAATAAAAAAAAAACAAAACAAAATAAAGGCATTCTATCCATCTACAACTACAAAAAACAGGAGGGCAGGACAGATCAAAGACATTGATAGTTGAGTGAGCAACATTTGAAATACAAGGAAGCACATCACCTTCACTGGGAACAGACAGAGCAGAAGTAAGGTCACATGGCGCCTAGGAGTCTGAAATTTATCCCAAGGCAACAGGGAGCCAAAGAAGGACTTTAAGCAGTAGAATGCCATGAGTAAGTATTCATTCTGAAGCTCAACCCAGTGATTGTTGTTCAGTGACAAAAGTGGAGGGTGGGGGGTGGGCACTGGCCTTGGGTTCGATCCCCAACACCACATAAAAACAAAGAAAGATATTATGTCCAACTACAACTAAAAACTAAATATTAAAAAAAAAAAAAAAAAGTGGGGCTGGGGTTGTGGCTCAGTGGTAGAGTGCTCACCTAGCATGCATGAGGCACTGGGTTCAATCCTCTCAGCACCATGTAGCATGAGGCACTGGGTTCGATCCTCAGCACCACGTAAAAACAAAATAATGTGTCCACCTACAACTAAAAAAAATACATAAATAAATATTTTTTTTAAAAAAGTGTAGGTGGAGGGATTGGAGGTGCACTCAGTGGCAGAGTGTACTTGCTCAGCACGACCCAGGGCCTGGGTTCAATCTTCAGCATCATAGGGGCAGGGTGGTGGTGGGGGTGGTCTAAGTGGAAAGATTAGGCAAAAGGCTATTATTGTAATTCAGGCAGTCAGAACAGAAACAATGGCATGGTGTGCACAGGACAGAAGAGAGCTGAAGAATATTTAGGAAAGTCAAATGTAGAATTTGTTAAGGAACTAAATACTGGGGATGGTAGTATCAAGGCCAAGGCTAGAGGGCAAGGGATATAACTCAGGTGGTAGAGTGCCTGCCCTGCACACACAGGCCCTGGGTTCAATCCCCAGCACCACACACACACACACACACACAAAAAAAAAAAGCTAGGGTGGTTGATGGGTTATAGGGAAAAAAAGAACAGAATTAAGTTGTAGGTAAAAGTGATTAATTCTATTTTGTATACATTCAGTTTGAAGAACCTATGTGTCCCAGGTTCAGTTTATGATGTCAGATGCTCCAGGAATTTTAAGGAGGCTAAAGATCACACAGTGTCAGCTGAATCTAATAATAAGGAAGTCACTGATGGATTTAAAGAGAACAGTCTTATTGTAGTGGTTAAAACATCACATGCAAAAAAAAAAAAAAAAAACTGGGGCTGGGGCTGTACCTCAGGAGGCAGAGCACTTGCCTAGCATGTGTGAGACACTGGGTCTGATCCGCAGCACCATGTAAAAATTAAATAAAATAAAGGCATGTTGTCCCTCTACAAAAAACAACAACAACAACAACAAAAAAAAAAACAACTAATATGGGTAGAAGCAAGTTGGAAACAAAAAGAAGAGGTAGGGTTTTTACTTTATAGTTTTTTTTTGATGGGGGAGTACTGAGGGATTGAACTCAGGGGTACTTAACCACTGAGCCACATCCCCAGTCCATCCAGGTGTGTCACAACACCTGGTAAGGGAGGGTTTGTTTTTTGTTTTTTAAGTGTAGATGGACACAACACAATGCCTTTATTTTTATGTGGTGCTGAGGATCGAACCTGGGTCCCACCCATGCTAGGTAAGGGCTCTACCCCTGAGCCACAATCCCAACCCCAAGGGAGGGTTTTAAGATGACAGGTTGCACTGGGTAAGTAGTGCATGCCAGACTTGAGAAGCTGAGGCAGGAGAATTGCAAGTTCAAGGCCAGCCTCAGCAACTTAGGCCCTAAAGCAATTTAGCAAAACCCTGTCTCAAAATAAAAAATAAAGCATTGGGGATGTAGCTCAGTGGTAAAGCACCTCTAGGTTCAATCCCCAGTACAAACAAACAAACAGACAGGTTCCTAAGAAAATACATGGGGACAACCTAAAGCACAAAGAGAACTGTCCTAAACAAAGTGATAGGCTATCACTTCTCTCAAAATGAGAATAAAAGATAAAGAGCAAGACTAGGAAGCTCACAGGGTTTTTATTTAATGGCCTGTTTTAAATTTTTAGAAGGACATTTATTGACTACAAAAGGGGATTTGATAGGTAGAAAGCTGGAAGGTTTGAAAAAGTTATTTAAGATAATAGAGAACTGATTGCCTAGCATGTGTAAGTCCCTGGATTCAATTTCCAGCACCAGGAGAAAAAAAGAAAAAAGCTGGGAGGTTGAGGCAGGAGGATCTTAAGTTCTAGGACCAGCCTAGGCAACTTAGCAAGACCCTGTCTCAAAATCTCAGAATTAAAATAAAAAGGACTGGAGATATAGTTCATGGGACCCTAGAAGGGAGATGGTACAGGTTAACAAAATCTTCCCCCTTCCCCGGAACCGGGGATTGAACCCAGGGGCACTTAACCACTGAGCCACATCCCCAGCCCCCCCCCCCCCCCCTTTTTTTTTTTTTTTTTTTGAGATAGGGTCTTGAAAAATTGCTTAGGGCCTCACTGAGTTGCTGAGGCTGGTCTCGAACTTGCAATTGCCTACCTCAGACTCCAGAGTCACATATGCCCTACATCCAGCTGGACTCACAAAATCTTAACCGGTTTCTACAAAATATTTTACTCCCAACTGGAATCATTCAGCATACATAACCAACATAGATCTATTCAGCAATATTAACAAAATATAAATACTTTATCTTTTGGTCCGTAAACTCTACTTCTGGGAATGTATACAACAAATACATCTGGCAAGAATCACGTAGCTCTCTCTTCTGAAATGGAAAGATCTATAGGACACATCAAGTTACAAAGGAAAATGTAGAACAGAATTTATAGTATGCTACTTTTTGTGATTCAGGTGGTGAAAATAAAATTTGTACTCATACTTGCTGTATTTACATAAGGAAATCTGGAGAAAAAAAAACACAAAACCTATTAAAAATAGTACCAATAGGCAACTGGACGATTCATTCTCAATGTGTACACTAGGTTATAGTTATAATTTTGAACCATCCATAACACATTACCTATTCAAGATAAAAAAAAAAGAGAAAAAATTTAAAAAGAAAAGCAACTGAAAAACATTTAACATTTTTTGAGAAGGCACCTTTTAAGATTTTTAAAGGTATGGATCCTCTTTTCAGGAAATGCATATAACTGGGCTGGGGATGTAGCTCAGTGGTAGAGCACTTGCAGGTGCAAGGTCCTGGGTTCCATCCCCAGCAAAGCAAAAAAACAAACAGGAAAGAAAATTCACATAACCATGTGAGTCCTGTTTCTGAACCTAGGGTTGCAATGTGTTATTTTACATTTTCTGCAATATTGACAATTATAATTTTATATCATGCACGTATAAACATGTAATAAGAAATTCCAATGTTACATATAATTGTAATGCACCAATAAAAATATGAAAATATTAATAACCACAAAATTATATTAAAATGTTCAGCAAAAACGAACCAACTGTTATATGCTAAATCTAGATAACAGCTGGGTAAGATGTAGCACTTGCCTGTAATCCCAGCAGCTGGTGGCTCAGGAGACTGCGACAGGAGGATCGCAAATTGAAAGCTAGCCTCAGCAACACACTGTCTCTAATTAAAATATAGAAAAGGGGGGCTGGGGTTGTGGCTCAGCGGTAGAGCGCTTGTCTAGCGGGGGTGAGGCACTGGGCTCAATCCTCAGCACCACATAAAAATAAAAGAATTGTGTCCACCTACAACTAATTAACTATATATATAGGGGGGCAGGAGATGTGGCTCAGTGCTTAAGCGCCCCTGGGTTCAATCCCCGATACCATAAAATAAATAAATAAAATCTAGATGATAAATTAAGGAAATTCGTCATGTTACTGTATTTTCTGTATAAATTTTCCTATAACAGAAAGACAAAATACAAAAACAAAACTCAAATGGCCAAACCTGTGTTTTAGCCCCAGAATCTTTCACCTCTTATCATAGCGGATGCTAACAAAGTACCTTGAGTCTTACCGTATCTGCTCCATGGCTTCCCATGTCAGAGTTCTGGGCGGGGCACCTGGCGCCTCCATTTGCCTCCGAATTTTCTGGAATCGAATTGCTTTTTTCTGTCGTTTCAGGGCGCTGGGGGAGAGAACCAATGGCAGAAGCCATGCGTGGAAGCAAGATGGGTGTTTGAAAAGTCTTGGGCTAAATCACCAACAGCCCAGCCCTCTTTTGTGTCAATAAAGGCCACCGGGCCATGTTTGCCAGCTTAACGCCGCTCTGTACACCGACCCAAAAATCTAACACCTACAACAATAACTGCCCGTAAGCATGCTGAACTATCTAAAAGTGTAACGAAATATACGTCACTAGCGAAGGAACCTGTGGTCTCAAGGGAGCTGAACATCTGTCCCTACGCCGCTAACAACAGGTAAGAAGAAACTAGAGTCACAGTGGAGGCGGCTGGAGGACGCCCGGCGCTAAGGGGGCGCGGCTTGAAGCGCCGAGGCCCAAGGCCAGCTTCAGGCTGAGGGCCGGGAAAGGAGCTAGTACCTCTCGACCTCCTGCAACTCCCTCTCCTCTGGCTCCCAGTCGGAATCCGGGTCCGGCTCACGGCCCATAGGGCCTGAGCCCGCCAGCCCCCGGGTCGCGAACCCATAGCGAGCAACAGCAGTACGGACTCGGCCGCCCAGCAATAGGCTGAGGGTAACCGCCATGGCGAAGTAAGCCAACCTCCAGCAGCCCGCTACCCTACAGCACCGGAAGCAGTCCCGGAAGCGGAAGGGGCGGGGCGGGAAATAGGGCGGATGCGAGGCGTTGCCCTTTCCAGGGCTGTAAGGACAGTCTAGGCCTGAGCTGTTTAGCGGCCCGTTCTTCCCAGCTATAACTGTTTGGCTGTCTTGAAACGCGAGGGTCTAAATGAGGTTCAGGACACTCCTGGAAAACGACATAAACTTTAATAAAAAGACGGATTCAATTACCGAGAGCCTCCCCTCTGTCTCAAGCTGCCCAGGCCTGCCGGTCTCCGCCACCATGGCAGGAAGGGCGGCCACCCTTGGCAGTCGGCTGACGGCGACAGACCCGTGCCTTGGGCACTTGACTCCAATGGTAAAAGGGACACGTCGCTGGGGTGACCGCTCCCAAGGTTCAGACAGCCCTCAACAGTAAGCCCAGCTTCAGGTTTGACAAGTGGAAATGAGTATTTGGCCAGCCTTGGCTCTTCATCTTTTAGTCTTTACCAATCCCAAAAGAATCTTAGGGTGTTGAGGAATTCTTGGTGTCTTTGTTTTTCCTTTTTCAAACAGGATTCCTGACTGGGGTTTTCAAACTGGAACTTGGTGGCCGACTTTCATTTAGCAAAGATTGAAGGCCCAGTGCTCCTTTTGGAACCTCAGGAGGTTCTCCAGGAGAGGTTGAGTGCTGACTTCCTTCTTGCTTTTACCTGTGCTGGCTAACGTTAAGAATTGTACTGGAATGCTGCAGAACAGGTGCAGAGGCAGGGCAGAGGGTGAGATCCCTGGCCTTGGCTGTTCTGTGTTCAGACTTTACCATGGAAGGCAATGTGCGTTCAGTCTGCAGAAGATAGCCATGCTTTGGGGTTAAAGTGGATGGCACTGATACTGCCAGGGCTTGGTTTATGGCTTCTAGCCTTCTGCTGGCTTGGCCTTCTGCAGTGAAAACATGGACCCCTCCTGAGTTGGTACTCACAGAAAAGATTTGCCCACCTCTTTCTCAGCTGTAATCCAGTTACTACCACAGAGGAATGGTATCCCATGCTTTCCTCCAGCATCTTTACCACACTGTATTATACTTGGTACGTTTACTTGCCCACTTTCTTGTTACCTTTGTTGAGGGCTAGGACTGTAATTCTGCCATTATTATCATCAGAGTCTAATACATAGGAGAAGTTAAATAAATGGGTCCACCACCTCCCCGTTCCTGTACCACTGCATCGTTATAGTTTAGGAGCATCCCAGCTGTAATATCTGCTATTAGAAATTTACACAGGTCAAAGTGACCAAAGCTAGTTTTGTATACTTACGGCTAGTGACCCTGACTCTAGCGCTGGAAAAATAGTGCCTCCCAGCTTTCCTCATTGACAATGAACAGGGACCGATGGCTGCTGGATCTCCTATCCAGTTGAAGGTCTTGGGCTGCAGATGGCACCGGGAATGTTGTGGGATTGCAGCATTCGTGCTTGGCAGTGGCCCTAAGATCCTGGGGATCAATTCATGGGGCCGAAGTGGTTGCAGGAAATGAGGCTGGCCCTGCTCTGAGGTAGCCCCTCTTAGGAGCACCAATGGGACCAGACTCACAGATTGCACTTCTTGACTGCCCAGCCCGTCCTGGTGAAATCTAGGCTAGAGGAGAAGAGCAGCCCCTTACCACATTTCTTGTGAGGCTGGATGGAGTGTTGGAAGAAATAAGTAACTTAAAAAATCTCTTCTAGGCCGTAGCCACTATTTAACCAGTTACTCTTTTAGGGTTCAATAAAAACAGAGGGCCCAATAGATTTGTTACTAACCCAGCAACTGTTTTACTGGCCTGAGACTATTTACTTATTCCCTGTTAGAGGACACTGTCAGTGCTAGAGAGATTACACAGAAGCCACAGCATGATGGCAACCTTGTTATTTGTCAGTCATAACTTTTGGGCTACTATGAGATAAGAATATAGAGGGTAAGTCTCTTGTAATTGAGAAAGTTGGGGCCTGCACTTTGCTGGATGTCAATTCTGAAAATAAGGGAGATGGGGAATAGATGCAAAAAGAACCAACAGACCAGACCCTCTCCCAAGGCCCAGCCTATTCAACTTTCCCAAGCTCCATTGACAGATACCATCACATAAGCATCTTTTGGTGTGACACCACCATCTGCTGATATCACAACCTTTTTATCCCTTCTTTTGCCAAAGGCTTCATAAGGACCCTCACCTGATACTCATGAAGTTTTTTCTGGCCCCTGTGACTGGGGTGTAGCATGCGGGTCAGCTGCTCTACAATACCCAGGCTTCGAATGAGATTCTCCCTTTGTATCAGGGCCTTCATCCGCTCTAGCTCCTCCTCTTCCACAATATCTTGAGGTTGCATAATATCCAGGTGTATTGATTTGGGCTGCAAGGTACATGAGAGATAAATGCAGGATCTCCAAGGACAAGTCCCAAACCATCGGCAAGGATGGCTGTAGGACTCTAGCCCACTCTACCTCCATCCCTGCCCTGACCCTCCTGTAGAGTTCCCTTTGCTGTCCATTCTCTCACCTTCTGTTCCAAAAAGTCAGTTTCAATTTACTGATAAGGAACTCATCTCTCTTGTGCAAGGGGAGGAGAGGACAGCAGAGATTCCCTTTTCTAGTAGTCCCAACCCATTTTCCTGCAGAAAGATAAGAGTCACACAACCCTTGACACCTCTTTCTCCCGCTTCCGATTCCTGTAAGCCAAGTAGGTGAAAAGGCCCCGGGGCCCTGCCCTGGATCGGCTCTTCTCCCCAGCTGATTCACCCTGGTTCTGGTCCTTGTTTTCCTTTCGCCTCTTAGTGCCTGAATTCTCCTGCTGTTCCTGCTTCAGGCGGATCTCTTCTAGTTGCTGCCTGATAAAACATAAAAGCTTCAGATACTGGAGGAATTGTGTTGGGGAAAAGGAAATAGAGGGAAAACGGGATAAGCAGGAATCATGATCTGTTCTTGGGACAGGAATTAGGGAGGAACCTGCAGAATGAAGAGTCACTAAGAGGCTGACAGACTATATAGCTCTATTTCTCTTTCCTCAAGTGTCTGGCTTCCTCCCCCACTGCTGGGGAGTAATTCAGGTTCAAGATCTGCCCTCATCCATCTGCATAAAGGAAATGCAGGACAAAGTGGCAAAGTACCTGGCACACTCTTCTCTGGCTTTGGAGGCAGCAGTCTCCTGGAAGAGGGAGCCATTGTGCTTGAAGAAGGGTTCATACTTCCCTGTGTCAGGCCCAGGATAGATCCGCCGATAGCCCCCCAGGTGGGAATCCTCATATCGTTCCTGGTCCTGCATGGCTGCATGGGACGACTCGATCTGTTCTCGCCTGTGGAAACAGCTCAGCAGAGTCAGAGATTTGAGAAAGGAAGGCTGGGTAAGCCTTTGAGAAACTCCTGCTGGCCGCTTGGCCTCCCAAGCCCTTGACTGTGGGGAAGGCTGTCAAGGCCATCTCTGGTCAGCATGACCATGTGTGTAGGCAGAAGAATAGGCTTTGCTTCCAGAAATTTGATTTTTGTTCTAAGTTTACAGGGGTTTACTTATAAACTGGCACTCCAAATTATCGGAGTCTAATTATGAGACTAATATAAGTTCACTACAGAAAACTTAAAAGAGCAAAAAAATTAAAACTCCCCATGATCTTACTATGAAATTAACATATCAGTAATTAGCACAGAGCAAGGACTCCAGGGCAGGACCTCCTGAGTTTGAATCCTGTCTTTGCTACTCCCTAGTTTGCCTTTCCTCCCTCACTTCCTTTTTTTCCTTCCTTCCTTCCAAATTGGGATCATATATCAATATTTTAAAATGAGTGCCAGACATAGTAGCACATGCCTGTAATCCCAGCTACTTGAGAGGCTGAGGCTGGAGGATCACAAGTTCAAGGCCAGACTGAGCAACTTAGTGAGACCCTGTCTCATAATAAAAAATAAAAGTGTCCGGGATGTAGCTCAGAGGTAAAGTAGTTGTCAGCCATTTTTCCCCATTGAACATGATTCACTCAGGTCCCCTGTTCAGTCTCATGGGAACACTCAGGGTGTTTAATTTATCCTTCACTCCCATTCATCACACAAACATTTGAGTACCTGTTATTCACCAGGCCCTATGGCTATCATGAGGAATCAAATACAAACTACCCCTCATATTGGAATACCAGTAGAGAAAAGCAATGTTACTACAGGAATATCCAAAGCCTACTCAAATTCAATTTTATGTATCATTAACATATACTTTTAATATCAGTAACCAATCACCATGTTTGTAACCCATTTTATACGGAAAACAACAATGGGTGATCAATACTGATTTAAACAATTCCCTATTAACAACTAAACTGTTTTCTGTGTTTCATTTTTAGAAAGTTCCTCAGGAACTGGTTTCTAGAGGAGCTGTGTTAAAAAAAACAAACCAGCAGTTGGGCATGGTGATGCATACCTATAATCCCAGCTATGTGGGAAGCTGAAACAGGGAAATAACAAGTTTAAGGCCAGCCTCAGGAATTTAGTGAGACCCTGTCTTAAAAAAATAAAAAGAGCTGGGAATATAGCTCAGTCCCTTAGGTTCAATCTCCAGTACTGAAGGAAAAAAAAAAAAAAAAAGCACAGCAAAGTATACAATTAGGATATGAAGAGAAAACACACAGAATGGGAGAAAATCTTTATTAGCTACTCTTCCGACAGATGATTAGTATCTAGAGCATATAAAGAGCTCAAAAATCTTTACACCAAAAAATCAAATGACCCAATTAATAAATGGGCAAATAAACTAAACAGACACTCCTCAAAAGAAAAAATACAAATTAAAATAAATAATTTAAAAAAAAATTTTTTTAGTTATACATGGGCACAATATTTTTATTTTTTTAAATTTATTTTTATGTGGTGCTGAGGATCGAACCCAGGGTCTCACACGTGAGAAGCTAGTGCTCTACTGCTGAGCCGCAACCCTAGCCCCAATAAATAAATTTTTTAAAGAAAATAAATAAATATTTATAATTTTCAAAAAAAGACAAAATACAAATGGCCAACAATACATGGAAAAAAGCTCAACATCATTAGCAATTAGGAAAATGCGAATCAAAACTACAGTGAGATTGTATCTCACACCAGTCAGAATGGCAGTCATCAATAATACAAATAATAGGGCTGGGAATATAGCTCAGTTGGTAGAGTGCTTACCTCGCATGCACAAGGCCCTGGGTTCAATCTCCAGCACCAAATATATATATACAAATAATAAAAAAATACATATACAAATAAGAACTGGATGCCACGGCACATACCAGTAATCCCAGGGGCTAGGGAGGCTGAGGAAGGAGGATTGTAAGTTCAAAGCCAGCTTTAGCAACTTAGCAAGGCCCTAAGCAACTCGGTGAGACCCTGTCTCTAAATAAACTATAAAAAGGGCTAAGGATGTGGCTCAGTGATTAAGTGCCCCTGGGTTCAATCCATGGTACCAAAAAACAAAAGAATACAAATAATAATAAATGCTGGAAAGGATGTGGAGAAAAAGGAACACTTCTATACTGTTTGTGGGACTGTAAATTAGTATAATTACTATGGAAATCAGAATGGAGGCTCCTCAAAAGACTAGGCATGGAACCCTACTATACTACTTCTTGGTATTTACCTTTACTACAGTGATACATATGCATAACCATGTTTATAGTTCACAATAGCCAAACTATGGAACCAGACTAGGTGTTTATCAGTGGATAAATGGATAAAGAAAATATAGTATATATACACAATAGAGTTTCATTCAGCCATAAAGAAAAATGAAATTATGGCATTTGCAGGACACCGGATGGAACCAGAGACAATCATGTTAAGCAAAATAAGTCAAATTCAGAAGGTCCTATGTTTTCTCTCATATGCATAAGCTAGAGGAAAAAAAGGAAAACAAAAGTGAGGGTGGATCTCCTAAACCAAAGGGAGATTAGGACAGGGATCAAGGGGTGGAAAGTAAAGAGGGAAGGGGGAAAGCTGGGAAGTGATTTTGGTCAAATTACATTATTATATTGTGTGCATGTACAAATATAAATATGTAACAACAAATCCCACATGCAAGTGCACATGCAAGGCACTGGGTTCGATCCTCAGCACCACATAAAAATAAATAAGTAAAATAAAGGTATTATGTCCAACTACAAATATATATATATGTATATATGTATAATTAGGGCTGTGGCTGTAGCTCAGTGGCAGAGCACTTGCCTAGTATGTGTGAGGCATTGGGTTTGATGCTTAGCACCACATAAAAGTAAATAAAATAAAGGCATTCTGTCCATTATAACTACAAAAAAATTTTAAAAATATACAATTATAATACACCAATAAAAAATGAGGATTAAAAAAACTATTAAAAATGAGGATAAAAAACTAATCAAACCACCTAAAGCACCTTATATGTTAATATGAAAATAGCTCTAAAATACATTGCTAAGTAGGGTGCCGAGTATGTATAAGTTATGCAACTGTCTGGGTAAACATACTTTGTTATAAATACATATATATTTGTGCTTTAAGTGCTTGTGAAAGTATGACACTACACTAGGAATGTTGACTGACTCCAGGGAGGAAAATTGGGTAGCTGGATGAGAAGGGCAGGGGAAAAACTGTGAACTGTATCATTTGAATTTTGAATATATTGTCTATATTATGTGATGTATTATCTATACATATGTAATGTACTATCTATGCAAAAAAAATTTTTTTCACAGGGCTGGGGATCAAACCCAGGGTCTCATGCATGCTAGGCAAGTGTTATACAATGGAGCTATGTCCCCAGTCCCCCAAAATAATGTTGGTTTTTTTTTTTAATTTTTTTTAGTTGTAGATGGACACAATATCTTTATTTAATTATTTTTATGTGGTGCTGAGGATCGAACCCAGTGCTTCACTTGTGCAAGGAAAGTGCTCTACCACTGAGCCACAACCCTAGCCCCCCCAATTTTTTTTTAATATTTATTTTTTAGTTGTAGTTGGACACAAAACCTTTATTTTACTTATTTATTTTTATGTGGTGCCGAGGATTGAACCTACGGCCTTGCACATGCCAGGTGAGCACTAATTCTGAGCCATAACCCCAGCCCCAAAATATTTTTCAATAGTTAATTCGCTCTTTGTGGCCTTCTTCTAGTGGACTTTCACTCTCAGGAAAGTATAAAAGCAAGACCAGTTACGCTAATAAACTCACATTAGATATTGAGGGAAACAGGTTCGGTAGTTGTGGCGAAGAACAGAGTGGGCTGAGATGACATACCTGGCTTCTCGTGGCTGTTGGTGGCTCTGCAAAAGCCTTTCCTTGACTCTCCGCTTGTCCTCCTCTAACACTTTTTTTTTGTCACAACCCCGGAGGTTAACAAGGGTCATGGCATCACAAAGAAGTGCATCCTTCACCTCTCGATCAAGGCGGGAGTCTGTAGTGAAGCTTGGAGAGTGATTTACCTGCCAGGAGAAGTAGTTATTGCCCCCTTCCTGTATCTACCACCTGAACAGATGGTGGTCTCTTGAAGACCTGAGTGAGGGTCTAGGAGAAACATCCCCTCCTATAACCGCAACCAAGTTGGCTGGAAGCTCTAGCTTTCAAGGCCATAGGACTCTGCATACTGATCCCTCCAATTCACAGGCATCTTGGGGAGAGTAAATCAAATAGCCTAAGTCTACAGATAAAGTGTCCTGAAAGTCAAGGTTTATACTGGGGATCCCAAACCTGGATTGCTGTGGTAGAAGCCAGAGATCACCAAAGTTTGACTCAGCCAGCCAAAAGGGTAGGGTAGATAGATGTCTTTTGCCTTCTGCTGGTTGCCACCTACCCTGAAGTTTCCCTATCATCTCCCCTTCTCTGTCCCCACCTGAGTGCCTCCTATCCCAGATGTCCTGTTCAGAGAAGCCTCTGAATCTTGCTTTTGCCAAGATGAGGAGAGAAACCTTACCTCCAGCAGCCAGGGCTTCAGCTTGTGGTCCAGCAAAACATCAAAACCAAGGATCTCAAAACAGGCACATGTACCACTACTCAGATATTGAGGAAAACAAGTTCGGTAGTTGTGGCGAAGAATAGAGTGGGCTGAGATGACAGTTTTGATGATGATGTCCTCGATGTTGCCCCACAGCTCTCGGGGGTTGTAGCTGTGTTCTCGCAGCCAGGCGTTGAGTGTTGACAGCTTCCTGTGAGGCCCAGTGCTCAGAGGAATACAGATTTCTATGCCACCAGGGCCTGGCTACAGGCAGCTGGTTCCCTGATGCTAACCCTAATTCCAGGCCTGGGCCCCTGTGTGTCAAAGAGCTGCTAGCAGCTCCGAACAGGGATTAGTTATTAGGGTGGGGCTTGGGGCTGATAGACTCAGGCACAGATCCAGGGTCTAGAAAGACAGTTTTTCCTTAGCAGTCAGCCTCCCAAAAGTCAGCTGGGTTTCATGGGCTCCTGAAATTGTAGGGCTAAAGGATAGAGGAAGGAGGAAAAAACAGAGTAGCAAGTACCTCTTACTGCCCACAGCATCATCCCGGACAAAATTCTCATTGTGTTTGTTGATAGCATAGTTAGTCAGGTGCATGCAGACATCTTCCTGTGAAGCAAGTAGCCCCATGGGCTCAGACTGCTTCCATGCGGCCCACCTCTCCAGTGTCTTATGGCCTTCTCTACCCCTCCCTAGTATTGCTGGTCTCCTGGCCCTTTGCAACAGGGGACTGTCCTTTTATAAGATTCTGGGGAAGAGGGTGGGGTGTGATGGGCACCTTTTCTCAGTCACCACCCACCAAGTGCTGTCCTCATAGCTTGGTGTCATGGCTTTCGCTGACTTCCTTCCTTTTTCTTGTGTGATAATGAAAAATCTCTACCTCGTTTCTCCCTAGAACATCAGCACTTATGCAATGGAAGAGAACGGGTGTCATTCTGCCCTCTCACCAGGTTGTTGTGGCTGGGCTCCACATATGGCATGGTGGCAAAGCGGGCCAGGCCCTCCTCATACATGAAGATCCGAAGAGGGTCACAGGATGTGATCAGGACGTAGATTCGTATATCAAACTTGAAGCCATCAATAAGGAAAGGCTAAGAGCACACAAACCCAGAAGGAATATAATTAACTTAAAAATTTTTTTTGTAGTTGTAGATGGATAGCATGCCTTTATTTTTTTAAATATTTGTTTTAGTTGTAGGTGGACACAATAACCTTTATTTTTATGTGGTGCTGAGGATCGAACCCAGTACCTCCCATATGAGAGGAAAGCTCTCTGCCACTGAGCTACAGCCCCAGCCCTGTAATTAATTTTTGAAGTGCTTACTATGTGCCACACACTGTTGTAAGTGCTTCAAATACACAACTCATTTAATTTTCACAACAATCATATAAAGTAGTTACTGTTACTCTTCCCATGAAACAATAGGAAATGGAGGCAAGAAGAAAAAAAAAAAGGTCATTCACCTACCTGAGGTCACATATCTAGGAAGTAGAAAAGATGAGATTCAAACCTAGGCAGGCTGACTAAACCATGGCTCCATACTGCCTCCAGGATAATGGGGACAGCAGAAAGGGTAGGAGCCCAAAACTGGCTTCCTCCCTGGCTTTGGAAGAGACAAGGAACCTCAGGGCCAGGGAGGAGCCTAATGGTACTGAGGTATCTTTCACCTTGGAGATGTACTGCTGGCAGATCATGTGCTCTCCTGGCTTGATCTCACGGGGGTTCCGGGTGATGAAGATGCCACGTCCCTGACAGCCACTGTCTGGCTTGCAGATATAAGTGCGGGTTTTTCGCTGCCGACCATAGGACTGGAAGTCCCCGTAGCTATGTGCAGAGAGGAGCAGGTCAAAAGGTTTCTGCAAATCGTGGCTGACCTAGGGGCCTGTGGCTATATTCTTGCTATCTAGGCTATCTAATCCACACTCTTCCTGGAACACTGTTCTCAGACTCACTTTTCTTTGATCAGCTGAAACTTTCTTGGTCCACTTTCATCCCCCTGAGACATACCAGACCAGAGTCTGGAGGGGACAAAGGAGGGCAACCCATTCCTGCCCCTAGGATCTCAGCCTGGGAAGCTAGATTCACTTACTCTGCAGGGAGGCACCAGGTACGGGGGAAGATGTTGTACTCGGTAGGATAGAGTTTCTGCATGCGGTTGAGATTCCGAGCCAGCAGATCTTTGCGGCAGATTTCTGTCATGCCGGGAAAGTGATTGATTTTCTGAAACAGAGCCAGTTAGTTATATTGTCTCCTAGAGTAAATGACAGCTCCTGGGGCCTGGGCATCCCAAAAAATCATGGAAGAGGATGGGGAAGAAGGGAGGAGTCACAGTGGAGGTGAGCACTGTCCTTACTACCCCAAAGGTAGAAACAGGAAGATTCCCTAAGGCAGGTGAGAAACCCTCCCAAGGCTTCTACACCCAATGTGCACATCCTTCATTCAAAAATAAAGGACATGGGGCTGGAGTTGTGGCTCAGTGGTAGAGCACTTGCCTAGCATGTGCAGGGCCCTGGGTTCGATCCTCAGCACCACATATAAAGAAAATAAAGGTATCGTGTCCAATACAACTAAAAAATAAATATTAAAAAAAAAAGAAGGACAGAGGCTGGCCCAGTGGCCCATGCCTATAATCCCAGCAGCTTGGGAGGTGGAGGCCCAAGGATCATGAATTCAAAGCCAGCCTCAACAATTTAGTGAGGTGCTAAGCAACTTAGTGAGACCCTGTCTCTAATAAAATACAAAATAAGGCTGGGGATGTGGCTCAGTGGTTAAGTGACACTGAGTTCAATCCCTGGTACCCCCTACCCTCCCATTCAAAAAAAGGAGGAGGACAAGAGAGAAGAATGTGTACTAGGCCAGACCTCTGGGCCTTCTAGCCATCTTCTAATATCCCTCAGACCACCACCAGTACTTGTCTTATAATGTAACAATGTATGGCAGTACAAAGAAATCATGAAAAACATTCTCTAAAAGATAGGAAATAGAAAAGGAAACTGAAGACCAGCTGAAGGAAATGCACTCCATGACACCTAGAGATGACATGGTGCCTGCCAGGAAACCTCTGGCTGCTCTGTCCTTCATGACTTTCTCAGTCACTAGCTGTATAAACTTAGTATTTCTGAGCTTCAGCTTCCTTTTTAAACAAAAGGATACCTGCTGCTCAGGATTTTTTTTTTTTGTGTGTGTGTGTGTGTGTGTGTGTGATGTTAGGGATTGAACCCAGGGCCTTCTGCATGTGAGGCAAGCCTTCTATCAACTGAGATATATCCCAGCCATCAGGATTTTGTTTTTAAGGATTTTTTTCCCTGGTACTGGGGATTGAACTCAGGGATGCTCTACCACTGAGCTACATCCCCAGCCCTTTTATTTTTATTTTGGGATAGGGTTTCACTAAGTTTCCCAGGCTGTCCTTCAATTTGTAATCCTCCTGCTTCAGTCACCCCTGCCACCCAATTGCTGGGATTATAGGTTTGCTCCATCACAACCAACATTATTAAGGATTTAATAATAAAAAAAACAACATAAAAGCACTTAACATGGTATCTGTTAGATGCATAGTAAGTCCTCAATAACAGCTGTTATTATTGCCATCCTTATCTGACAATAGCTTTCTGCATTTCTTTTCAAAGCTTCTTGAATACTTGTAGAACTTGCTGTCTATCTTGATACAGGTTATAGTTTCTTCAATCCCTTACTGGCTTCCCCTCAAAATAAGCCTATACACACCCAACTCCCTTTTTTATTGTGTCCTAAGGATCTAACCCAGCTCCTCAAGCCTGCTAGACAAGTACTCTACAAGTGAGCTGCACCCCCATCGCCTTTTTAAAAATTTAAGACAAGGTCTTGCTAAGTTGCCCGGGCTGTCCTCGAACTTGAAAACCTATCACTCAGCTTCCCGTGGAGCCCCACCAGACCCTTTTTAATTACAGTCATGCATTGTATAAGGGCATTTTACTCAATAACTACATATAAGGTTCTATAAGATTATGTCATCTGGTGATATCATACCCATCCATTTCGTAAAATACTTTTACAAAACTCAAACAATGATGAAATCACCTACCAATGCATTCCTCAGAAATGTATCTCTGTCATTAAGTGACACATGACTTATTTTATTGATATTCACCACAAGGAATCTGTTAGAGGGTAATAAAAATACCTTGAGGCAGGTATATTTTTTGTGTATGTGAGATACTGAAGATTGAACACAGGGCCTTGCATGTACTAGTGTTTGATCACTAAGCTACATCCCTAGCCTGGCAGGAACATTCTTCTTAGGGACCTGGTCCATCTTCCCTGATTTTCTTGCTGCCAGGCAGGACCCCAAACTGACACGCTCTCTTCTCTTCCTCCCCCCACTTCTTTGTACTGGGAATTGAAACCAGAGGTGCTTTACCACTGAGCCACATCTCTAGTCCTTATTGTTTTTATTTTGAGAGAGGGTCTCAGTAAATTGCGTAGGTCCTTGCTAAGTTGCTGAGGCTAGCTTTGAACTTGTGATCCTCCTGCCCCAGCCTCCCAAATCGCTGGGATTACAGGCATGCACCACCACACTGATGGGTTCTAAGATGCTGAGATGGCCCTTTTGTTAGCTCTGAGGCTGCCTCTCAGTCCTGCCTTGGAGCAGGCAGGCTAGACATAGATGTCACCAGGCAGAGCAAATAATGGGCAATTATCTACCCACCGGAAACTTCCTTCAGATAACAGAAGCTCCAGAGAGCCAAGAGGAGAATATTTCCATTGGAACAGAAGACCCTTAGTATAGCCATTCCTGTCTAAACAGGGTACAGCCAAAAAAGAATGGCAGCCTCATGCCTGGACAGGGGTTAGGAATAGTCATTCTGAATCTTAGCTCAGGATGTTGGTACCTGAAACCTCTTCATGTCCATGACTCGTTCCAGTGAGACGGAGCAATCTGTCCAATACACAGTCCATTCTTCGTCCTCCCCCACTTCTTTCAGGCCACACATTTGGGCTGCCCGCCGCACTGCAGAGATAGGGGGGTCAGTGTTGCCAGCCTGAGCACCAGCAACAAGCCCTGGAACTCTAGATGGGTCAGGAAAGGAATAGACCTGACCAGAGGCCAGGTTGAAGAGGGAGGTGACTCTTACTTCAGTTCTGCATCTTAGTTATCAGGTGGCAATTCCAAGTTCATGAGGCTGTCAGGCCCTTCCAAAATATGCAGCAGAGAAAATGAGCGCCTGGCCTTATGATTCTGCCAGTCCTATCTCTCAATCAGGATTGTTTCTGCAGAGCTGACCATAGGTAGGGACCACACTGGTGCCTAACACTCTGGGTGGCCTCTTGCACAGATGGCAGTGGGAAAAAGAGGGGAAGAAGGAAAACACTGACCTAATTGGGGTTTTTTTTTTTTTAAGTAGGGGTTTGGGGTTTTTTTTTGTTGTTGTTGTTGTTATTGTTGTTTGTTTGTTTTGTTTTTTAGGTGTTAGGGATCGAACCCAGGACCTCACACATGCTAGGCACGTGCTGAACTACATCCCTAGCCACCCACCCAAACTGTTTTAAGCTTGTCTCATCTCTGCACAAATCTGGGGAGGGTAGGGCAATGGTGACTCTCATGTATTTTATTTCTAGCAGTACTTGGGATTGAACACGGTAGTGCTCTATCACTGAGCTATACGCCCCCTAGCCTTTTAAAAATCTTTTTAAAATTTTGAGATAGGATCTCACCAAATGCTGAGGCTGGATTCAAACTTATTTCCCTGCCTCAGCCTCCCAAGTCTCTAGGATTACAGGCATGAGCCACCATACCCAGAACTTTTTTCGTTGTTTTTGTTAGTTAACTGAAGATATTGTCCCTACCATTGAGACTAATTAGAATAGCAATATCTCAACTGCCAGTAGCTGAGCCAGGGGAACCTCATGAGCATCAACATGGGCTCTAGGACAGCCTGGCAAGATCCAACGCTGGAAGCTTGATTGGAGCTCCTTCTCCCTAGTAAGAATGACAGCCCTCTTGTGTAAAAGGGTGTGAGTCGGGCACTTACCACTTTCATACTTGCAGTTGGTCAGGTTGATGGCCAAGGGTCTGGAATGGAGGAATAGCAGAAATCAGGCAGAGTAGAAGGGAAGGACAGACCCTGGGCTGCCAGGCTCTCAGATGCAGAGATAAACAAACACAATTCATTTTTTCTAGAAGCCACTTAAAGGAAAGACAAGGGTGATAAAAACATGCTGAAATTCTGCCAGGCATGGTGAGCATGCCTGTAATCCCAGGGACTCTGGAGGCTGAGACAGGAGGATCACAGTCTGAGGCTAGCCTCAGCAACTTAATGAGGCCCTAAGCAATTTAGCAAAACCTAGTCTCAAAATAAAAAGGACTGGGATATAGCTCAGTGGTAAAGACCCCTGGGTTCAATCCCCAGCATGGAAAAAAATATACTGAAATTCCAAAATGAACTAGCCCAAATGTTTCTGATTTTTGTTTCTGTTGTACCAAAAGATAAATCATGCTCCAGCCTTTCCTCTTCCAAAGACTGAAGGGAAGAGCTTAGGTCCCAGTCTCCCAAATACTGAAGGGAGGTCAGGGGGTGACTCTGGAGCCAGGCAGGTGAGGAGGTCCAGGGAAGGTTACCTGCATTTCCGCCTTCTCTTTCTCCTCCCAACTTCTAAGTCATCTGTGTCAGTTGGGGCTATGATTTTCTTTGGAATTTTCTTGGCTATAATGGCTAAGGGATCCCCATTCTCAAATGCCTTATAGTCTGCCTTTGAGAGTGCCTGCTGTGAAGAGTTAGAAGGGGTGGTATCTTCCTCTTTAACACACTCCTCCTCAGATTCCTCTTCCTCAACAGAGTCTTCCTCAGATTCACTGGTCTTACAGGTACTCGGTTCCATTCTCTTAGATTCTAAGGGGAAGAGGGTAGGAATTAAGGCCCAGGATGGCTTGCAGGGATCCACCCAAAGGCCCTTCGTGGTGTTGTAAGAAAATGTTGCAGCTCCTTCGGAACAGAACAATCCCACTGAATAACAGGATGTTTCCAAGTTGGGGTGAGGGTGTGTGGGATGCCAGGAGATAAGGATTCTCTGACTACCACCCAAGATCACACTGGATCATACAACACACTGTGGTGCGTGCAGTAATGAGCAGAGATGGTAAAAACCATAACCATGGCTCTTTTGTTCCTGAATGGAATGAGGGATGGCTGGGTGAACTGGGGAGATAATTTGCTTTGTAATACAACTGAAGATCAAATGTACAATAGGTCGGCCCTTTCTCTGCCTCAGGATTCAGATTCTCCATGTAAACACACTGGAGCCAGGCAACCCTTGGGCTCTGACCACAGAAGGGGAGCCTACGGCGGACACTGCCCACCCGAGGTTCCGAGAAGAGCTGAGGGGCTGCTGAGGCTGCCCCTAGCGGCCTGGGGTAGAACCCAGCTGCTCGCTCATGGCCGCCCTTCGCCCGTTTCGGCTCTTCCTGGGCGTTGCTGGTGTCGGGGACCGCCTATTAGTTCCACAGGACCGTCTGTCCGGGCTGTCGCGAAAGGGAGCCCGCTCCCCCTGGGGGTTAACTGCTGACTCCGAGATCCCGGCGGCGGCGGCGCCTTTTTTAGCTAGCCGACGGCCGCCGCCGCCGCCGTCGCCATGGATACGAGGGCGGTTCCCATTGCACAAGCGTTCCGGGGGCGGGTCCTTCCGCGGACCACACCCACCCGGGCGCCGGCTGAGGCCATCTTGGCCGGGGCTACGTTTGCTTACAGATGGAAGCGGAAGAGCGGCGGGTCGCGGCCCAGGAGGACCCGCCCCGCGCGTGCATCATGGGACTTGTAGTTCTCCTGATTTGGCACAACTTCGCACCTCCCCACTCCCATCTTTTCTTGAACGCACAAATGAAGTCTGCGTTGGGGACGAATAGCTGCTCTCTTTTCTTCGGTTTTTCCGAAATCATGCAGTGAACAGTCTTTGCCCTCTAGGAAAGCTCTGATTAAGACACATATCTTCCAGCGCTTTCAGCCTGATGGCCCAAGACAGCTCCATTAAGGAATAACGGAACCCCTTCATGACATTGTTCTGTCACTGTGGCCTCTTTTCCCCGACACCCTCCCACTTTGACTTCTGCTAGCCATCTCCACCAAACTTAGCCCAACTTGTCACTCAGATTATCCTGTGGGCTAAATCCAGAAGACACTTTAAAATTTTCCATCCTTTAGGAGGACAGGACTTCTGTTTTTCTGTTTGTTTTTGTATCATTTTTGGTGCTGTGGATGGAACCCCGGACCTTGCATATGCTAGGCCAGTACTCTACCACTGAGCTATACCCCAGCTCTAAATGGACATTTTTAAAATTCATAGATTTCTTGCTCTTTCTTCAACATGATTTTATATATATATATATATATATATATATATATATATATCCCCAGCACCACATTAAAAAACTTAACAAAATAAAGGTATTGTGACCATCTACAACTAAAAATATATTTTTTTTAAAGTCAAGAGGTGGGGCTTGACTTTATATAAGATCTCCTTGAAATACTCTGGAGTCCCTTGTTTCTAGTTTTTCTCATTTTGTCAACAAATATTCAGTGTTACAAGCACTGTCCTAGGATCTGGTCCATCTTCATTTGTTGCCTGAATCACTGTTTCAGCAAACTCTTCATTGAATTCTTTGACTATTCTTCATTTATCCTCCTTGTTACAGAGCACCGCCTACTGCAGAGCTGAGACACTACAACAGTCCTCTATTAGCAATTCTTGTGATCAGAAAGATTTCAGACGTGTCACTCAGTGTAGCAGACATGAGTTCACAGGAAAAGGGAACACTCTCAAGCGTGAGAGGGGGTCCTCTCAGAGGGATGGTGGCCCTCTCTTGCCCTCCTGGGGGGGGGTCTCAGGGAGTTTTCTGGAGGGTCCCACCCCAGGTCCACCTCTTGACTTTCTTTTTTTAATATTTTTTAAAATATTTTTTTATTTATTTGTTAATTTATATGTGGTGCTAAGAATCGAACCCAGTGCCTCACACATCTAGGCAAGCACTCTACCAGTGAGCCACAACCCCAGCCCAACACCTCTTGATTTTTTTTTTTTGGTACCGGGGATTGAACTAGGGGTGCTTTTTTAAATTTTTATTTAGAGACAGGGTCTCACTGAGTTGCTTAGTGCCTCACTGAGTTGCTGAGGCTGACTTTGAACTTGCAATCCTCCTGCCTTAGCCTTCCAAGCCACTGGGATTACAGACGTGTGCCACTGCGCCTGACACCTCTTGACATTTGACTGACAGCACAATCACATCAAACTTCCAAGTCCCAACTGTGTATAGTAAAGATCCAGGGCATTTGCCCATGCTGACTGGTTCTAACTAGAACTTGTTCTTATGGGTTTTAGAGTTAGGGGGAATTGTCCTTATCTTCCTGAATTCTGGGATCTGGCCTATATAAGTCACAGAAGTCCCCCGACTTCAGGGTTAACTTCTGTTACCCTGCATTTCTTCTTCAGATAATAGGTTGTTTGCTGAGGTGTAACATATCCTGACTTAAGCCAGGTAAATTGCTTTTTAAAAGAAAGCATGTGGGGGTCAGCACAGTGGACCTAGTTTATAGAATTAGCCCCCTAACCTTATATTCCCACCACTTTACATCTGCAGCTTGAGTATTTTTCCTAAAATGCAAATCTGTTACTACACCATTTGGTACTCTTCAAGGTTTCCCATTAGATCAAATCCATAGGCCCTTAGCATTTGAGGTCCTGAATCAAGAGGCAAAAAGGTGGAGAGGCCCTGTTTGGATCAGCAGTTCCTATCATGGCTCTGAGTACAAAGAGCCTATATATTCCATATTCTGGCTGAGACAAAGCTTCAGATAAAATTCCCTTCTTTTTAAAAAAATTTTTTTAATTGTAGATGTACCTTTATTTTATTTATTTTTATGTGATGCCAGGGATCAAAGCCAGTGTCTCACGCATGCTAGGCAAGTGCTCTACTACTGAGCCATATCCCTGGCCCACCTTCTTAAAGATTCCTAAAGCAACAACAACAAAACTTTAAACAATTCCTAAAGCATATAAACAGCTGAGAAACACTATCATAAAGAAAACCTATTTGACTTTACCCTGCCCCGCTTTATAGAAAAACTCATTTGGGTCAGGGAAGTCCCAGGGACAAACTGGAGAAATCCAGATATTTGGCTCATCATCTTGGACACAAAATCTACTTAGCTGTAATATCATCTCATGCATTCCCTTTGGGGAGCAAGCAAGGAAAAGCAAGCATATTGAGCTTGTATATGCAAAAGTTCTCAGAAAAACGTTAAAATTACTGCCATTTGCCAAAAACATGAGGGTAGTCAAAAATTTGAGAGAATGTAAAAATGCTTAATTGTTTTTCTTATAACATAGGTTATGGGTGCATAGTCTGCTTTATCTCAATGAGACTGTAACTTCTTTTGTGATATAAAATTTCCAATTAAAATTCTATGATAGGGCTGGGGTAGCCCACTCGCCTGGCATGAGTGCGGTCTGGGTTCACTCCTCAGCACCACAAATAAACAAAGATATTGTTTGCCGAAAAACTAAAAAATAAACATTAAAAAATTCTCTCTCTCTCTCTCTCTCTTTAAAAAATAATAATAATAAAAAATTCTACGATAAAGCTTTCTACAGGCCTGGGCATAGGGAGCCAAGTACCTATGGGCCTAAGCCACAGCCAAAGCTGTGCCCACACAATAGAAGGCAGAGGAGCCCAAACCTCTGCTGGGAGAACTCTTCCAGCTAGCGGGTGGCACCTTATTCTGAAGGCCCCCCTGACTCCTACACTGTGAGTAGGAACTCCCATTCATTCAGGAGGTTTGGGGTAAGAGTAGTGGCAGTGGACTGGGCATGGTTGTACACATCTGAAATCCCAGTGGCTGGGGCTGAGGCAGGAGGATTGCAGGCCAGCCTCAGCAATTTAGTGAGATCCTGACTCAAAAAATAAAAAGGGCTGAGGATGGAGCTCAAAGGTAAAGCACCCTTGGATTCAATCCCCACAAAATAAATAAGTGGCAGTGATCATCCCTATTGAAAACTAAACTCAGGATTTTGTTGTTGCTGTATGTTTTTTGTTTTGAGACTGGCTCTCCCTATGTTATTCAGGCTGTCCTCAAATTCCTGAACTGTTGGGCTCAAGTGATTTTCCTGCCTCAGCCTCCCAAATAGCTGGGATTACAGATGAATGCCACCATACCTGACTGCAGCTCAGGCAGTCAGATGCCAGAATCTGAGCTGGGACAATGTGCATTTGTGATTCTCTCTATCATTTATTTTCTTTTCTTTCCCTCCCTTCCTTCCTTTTTCTATTCCATCATCTGGCATCTGACTGCCTGAGCTGCAGTCAGGTATGGTGGCATTCATCTGTAATCCCAGCTATTTGGGAGGCTGAGGCAGGAAAATCACTTGAGCCCAACAGTTCAGGAATTTGAGGACAGCCTGAATAACATAGGGAGAGCCAGTCTCAAAACAAAAAACATACAGCAACAACAACAAAACAGTGGGCAAAGGAGGAACAAACAGAGAAGGTGAGAAAAGGAAGAAAGGTGAGAAACAGCAGATATAACCAGGAGAGCATGCTGATTCAATTTATTCCAAGGTTTCTCTCCTTCACCAAGACCAGTCATCAGTTCTTTCTTTATTCTTCCCCTTAGGCTGAGAGAAATAGGAAAGCAATCATAAAAATAAATGACCAGATGACTAGACAATGAAGGACTATGAATGGAAAGGGATTCAGTCAGTTAGCAAATAAATACCTCCAGAAGGATCACAGCTCTTCCTGGGCCATCAAGGCTACCAGTGCTTCCTGTATCTCATCTGCTTGTGCTGGGGGCAGCAGACAGTCCTGAATGAGGGCCAGGGCAGCCTCCTCTGT